CCTGCGGGCGGGCAGCAGCGTGAGCCGGGGCCGGGACACGCAGCTCACCAGTCACAGCCGTGGCGAGGATGGGTCTTGCCAAGTCACCCGGGCTGGGCTCCACCATGGGATCCTCCTGCCTCAGCCTCCCAGAGAGCTGGGTTGACTGGCGTGCGGTACTGCGCTCAGCCTGTTCTGTTTTAGCAGAGGGAGAACCAGAGGGAAGGTTGCAGGGGTCAGTGGAAGGCCACAGAGATTCTTAACGTGTCCCGCATGTTTCCATGCTTTTCAGACGTGAGTTCCTGTAACCCTCGTTAATCCCCATGAGGTACTGTAACCCTCACTGAGCACTGACGGTGATGAGTGACAGACCCAGGACTTGAACCCAGGAAGAACGGTATCAGAGCCCTGCCTCCCGGCGTGCACCCATTAACGTGTGTGCGTAGACATATTAGCTCTAGACCCAGAGGCCCCGATCTACAGGAGGGTGCGAGGTCTGGGCAGGCGAGACCATTTGCTCATGGTAAAAACCTTGAACAAGACAGGAGCGGTGGCACACGCCTGCCATTCCAGCTCTCTGGGAGGCTGAGGCAGGAGGGTCTCAAGTTTGAGTCCATCCTAAGCAATTTAACACCTCAGCGAGACTCTGTCTCAAAACAAGAACAAAATGAAAGGATGCAGCTGAGTGAGAAGCCCTGGTTTCAATCCCTGTAGCACAGACGTGAGTGCTGCTCAGTGAGGCTTTGGGGCTCAGTGTGGTCTGAGCCCAGGGTTGGGCCTCACGTCTTCATCCACAGAGTCCAGAGTGCACAGGGTGGCACTGAGGACCCCTGAGGCCCAAGCTCGTACCAAGCCAGCATCCACAACACACAGAGCCCCAGGGGATTCCAGCGGAAGTGGGGCAGAGGCAGGGGCCTGGTTCCCATCCTCAGCATCACAGGGCCCAACAGGACCAAGAGTGCCTGTTCCTGCGGGGTATTCTGGGGAAGGGCGGTCCCAAGCGCCTGCCTCCCTGGCCTTGTGGAGCCTCGCGCCTGGGCACCAAGGGCCTGAAGAAACCCATCCTTCTGTCCTGCTCTGCAAACTCCCTTGACCCCTGGAGCCCTTTGGCCCGACAGACGCGGGTGTGTAAGCAAAGCAGCACACAGCTGGGGAGACAGCAAGCTCAGCCCCGGCGGTGAGAGGCAGCAGTCAGCTTTCGAGGACAGCAAGAGCAAGACACGGGGTGGTCAGCTCTCAGCCGCCAGCCTCCTCCTCTGTAAAGCCAGGTCTCTCATGCACACCAAGTTCCCAGCACACAACTCACAACAGCTAAATCCTGGAAACAACTTGTGTCCCTCAGCACATGGGCAGATAAAGGAAATACAGAACACATTGTGGAGTACTATACTGCTATAAAGAAGGATACACTTGAAGCATTGTGGGAAAATGGATGCACCTTGAGACCATAATGTTAAGTGAAATAAATCAGGCACTCAAGCTTTTTTTTTTTTTTTTTTTTTTTTGGTACGGGGATCAAACTCGGGTCCTTGTGCTTGGGAGGCAGGCAGCAGAACCACGGAGCTAAATCTCCAGCCCCACTCAAGCTTAAATACATGATTTCTCTCATATGAGAAGGGCTTGGGACTTAGCTCAATGGTGAAAAAATCTCCATTAGCTCTCATATGAGAAGCCCAAAGTATAAATAAAGAGCAAAATAAAAGAAAGATGATAGGAAACAGGGAGACAGACTTTTTGCAAAAGGAAAGGAGACCAACACATGGAGGGGGAAAGGGGACATACAAAGAATAACAATGTGTCATGTACATGTGCCAGCTCCCCACAGCAAACACAATCATTATGTGCTGCAAACGTGGCCTAATACAAACTAAGAAAAATATCAACAGGTGTGTTGGTGCACACCTGTAATCTCAGCATGCAGGAGGAGGCTGAAGCAGGAGGATCTCTGTGAGTTCGAGGTCAGCCTGGGCTACACAGTGAGTTCAAAGTTAACCTGAATTACAAAGTGAGACCCTATCTTGAAAGCAGAAAGAAAGAGAAACGAGGGAGAGAGAGAGAGACAGACAGAGAGAGAGAGAGAGAGAGAGAGAGAAGCAGAGCTGGCTGTGAAGTTAGACCAACTGTTGGTTGTCACTCAGCTCAGCACCTGCTAACCTTTGGCCTGAGAAAGTTACAGCGACTCTCTGAGCCTTACTTTCTTCATTTGCAAAACGAGAACCACAGACCCTGGCTCAGAGAGGTGGTGAAGCGGGAAGAACAGCTCCAACAGAGCACCTGACGATTATCCCCGCCGGAAATTCAAAATGAAGCCACTGCGATCACAGGCCTCGCAGCCGTGATCCTTTTCTAGAGCTCTCATCCCCTGCCCTCCGCGGGGTCGCAAGTCCATGTGCCAGAAATATTCCAGTAGAAGTCTGCCCAGGCTCATCTTTAAAATTCTGTGAGCTGCGTGCACACCTGTGACCCTAGCACTCAGGAGGCTGAGGCAGGAGGAGCCTGGTGAGTTTGAGGCCAGCCTGGGCTGCATAGGGAGGCTCTGCCTCTGAAAATGAAATAAGATGTCCTGGTCAGCATCGCGAGAAAGGTATCGCTGCCCCTACAGGATTCGCACAGAAGACAGAAGCCAGGGTCCCCGGGGAGGCGCAGTGACCCCATGCTGGGGTCCCGGCAGGCTGCACCTGCAGTGGAAGCCGCTGAGCACTTGTAGGACTGGGACGGACACGTGTACCTTTTTCCCAGCGCGGTGACCATGGCCTCGAAGGAGCTGTCATATCTGAGCAGGGGGAGGCTGTGTCCCGAGACGGTGGACTCAATGAACTCGGCCAGCCCGAAGTACTTCTTGTTTTCAGGGTATAGGTCTGTGCCCTGGAACAGAGAGCTCACCCCTGGGTCGGAGCTCCCGGGAAGGGCGGGGAGGCCGGTGGGCAGTGCTGGGGATTGGAGGTAGGGCCATCTCTAGTTCCTTCTTATTTAATTTTTCCCTGTACGGGGATCAAACTCAGGACCCTGCACTTTCTTGTTTGTTTGTTTGTTTGTTGAGACAGGGTCTCACTATGTAGTTGAGACTGACCTGGAACTCACTATGTAGCCCAGGCTGGTCTCGAACTCACAGCGATCCTTCTGCCTCAGCCTCCTGAGTGCTGGGATTACAGGCGTGCACCATCACACCCAGCAGGACCCTGCACATTCAAGGCAGGCACAGCGCCCCTGAGGTGCGCCACTGAGGTACAGCCCCCGGCCCTTAGTTTCTCTATTTTGAGATGATCTCTCCTAAGTCTCCCAGTGTCCCCAGCCGGGCTCGAATTCGCCATCCTCCTGCCTCTGCTTCCCCAGTGCTGGACTCATAGCCATGCGCACCCTGCCTGCCGGCTCCACGGAGTCCCCAGCCACTCAGCTGACTGCAAGTCCTCAGCTGGAGAAGGATTTTAACATCCAACCCTGGACCAGACCACAGCGGGAGCTGGAAGCCCTCACCCACGCCAGGGCCCGGGTCTGCTGAAGGCCGGGTCTGTGCAGAGTCACACTCACGTCACTGTCGGGCCCCGGCCAGTGGATTTCATTGTAGGGGCTGACGAGGGTGTGCTGGGTCTGCAGCGCGTATGGAAAGGATGTCACATGGAGCGTCACGATGTTGGGGGCCTCCTTCACCCCCCTGCAGTTGAGCAGTCTGTCCACCAGCCCCACAGATGGGTCGCTTTGGGAGTAGAGATTGTGGATGGCGCCACTGAGGCAGGGAGAGAAGAAAGAATGAATGCAATTACTAATAGTATTTGTGATCTTTTTTGTTTTCTTAGCCTGGCCTTGAACTAGAGGAGAGCCTCCTGCCTCAGCCTCCCGAGTGCTAGGGCAACAGGCATGTGCCACCACCCCGGGCTTCACTGTGTGATTTTATAAAGGGAAAAGCAGTCAACTGTATTTATCATGAGCCCTGAGTTTGCTTCTAATTGAAGCTTATGGCTCTGCCACTGACAGGAAAAGAAAAAGAAAAATATGTGATTGGACTTCAGACACTTGGGATCCTCCTGCCTCAGCCTCCCAGAGTTCCAGGATTACAGCTGTATGGCACTGCCATGCCCACCTCATGTTCATTTTAATTGAGCAAATTCCCCCTTCTAGGAGGGTGGGCCAGGTGATGCTCCAGGGGCGGGGCTGAGTTGAACCCCTGGTGTGAGGACGCCATCCCCACCCGCGGCGTGGCCCATAGCAGCTGACCTCTGGAGGTCCCAGTGCGCATGGTCGTGGATGAGCAGGAAGAGCGTGTGCGGGTTCTGGAGGGAGCTGTGCAGGAACGCCTGGAACCTGGCGTGCGCCTCGGCGTCCAGCTTCAGCACGTGCCGCTCCGCCCTCTGCCTGCTCCCTGGCTCTGGCTCCAGGCCCAGATCCCGCAGCACCCCTGCCACGCGGGGACACAACGCAGCGTCGGGGCGGGGGCGCGCCCCCCCCCCCAAGGCCTGGCTGTGTGCACCCCAGGGACTGAAAAGCAGGAAAGGCTGGAGGGAAGGGAAGGCTGCACGGCCACGCAAAGCCACCTCGGGTCCCTTTGTCACAGCACTGAAGAGACTTCGGGAGACTGAACCAGGGCCTTTGCGCTGAGCTACATCCCCAGCCCTTGGCATTTTTTATTTAGACACAAAGTCTTGCTAGGTTGGCCAGGCTGGGCTCGAATTGAGATCCTCCTGCCTCAGCTTCCCAGAGTGCTGGGATTCTAAGCACGTGCTACCAGCCCAGTGAGAGTAACTCCCTAGTGTTAAGACACCAGCTGCCTGTGTATTCCACATTTACACGCAATCTCCCCAGACAGACATCAGGTAGAAGCCACATCACAGGTGGGTCCTGGCCCGAGGGACGCAGTGAGGGTTTCTGTCTCATTCTCCCTTCACCAGGTCCCAAAGCCCTGGGCAAATCCATGTCTGAGACCAGCATCACAGTCTACAAAATAAAAGCAAAGCTGGGCATGGGGGCGCTAGCCTGTCATCCCAGCACTGGGGAGGCTGAGGCAGGAGGATCTCCAGGAGTTTGAGGCCAGCCTGGGCTCCATAGTGAGTTCCACCGCCAAGAAGGGTGCTGACATCTGCCAAGGTTCTGCCCGTGTCCCTGTCCCCCCACGCCCCTACCTGAGTGCCACACGCGGCCCACGGTCTGCTGGAAGGCGACCTCCGAGGGCGGGATGCAGATCAGGAAGTCCACCTTCTCGAAGGAGCCCAGGTCCAGGTTCTGGGCGCTGGAGTCCGCGATGGAGCACACGTGAGACAGCAGCTTCTGCGCCACCGCCATCTGGAAGGGCCGCACGCCGCGCAGCTCGGGGCGGTGAGCTGGCGAGCAGGGGACCCGCACTCAGCCTGGGCCCAGAGGAGTGGAAAATCCCTGCAGCGCGCCCACAGGGACCACAGGGGGAAGGAGCCCAGGTCCAGGTTCTGGGCGCTGGAGTCCGCGATGGAGCACACGTGAGACAGCAGCTTCTGCGCCACCGCCATCTGGAAGGGCCGCACGCCGCGCAGCTCGGGGCGGTGAGCTGGCGAGCAGGGGACCCGCACTCAGCCTGGGCCCAGAGGAGTGGAAAATCCCTGCAGCGCGCCCACAGGGACCACAGGGGGGAC